GCATCAGCTGTGTGCTTGCATAGTGTGGCCGGTCTCCACTGTTGTTGCATACTGTGTGTTACATAGTTGTGTGCTTGCAGGAGCTGATGTCTTCGCTATGAGCGTGCTTTACGAGCGCTATTGTTACCGGTCTCGCCGCCTATATCGGAGATCAAATTAGCTGCTAACTCGTTCTCGGTTGTTGATCCGCCTGTGCATTGAACTACAATGCATACCATAGTTGTCTACGACTGCAACATTGTTATTCATTGTGTGTCGTATGATGCCGATGAGCCATCATTTCTTCATTGTAAACTGTGAACTGTGCTAAGACTGATATTTTCAGATTGTATTCAATTGCGTTGCTAATCTTTAATCGGGTTGTAGATTTTTTTTGATTGGTCGGTGGGTAGCAGCGCGACGGATAAAACCGGGTGTCAACCTATACTTGTCAGTAAACGTCTATATCGATTATAACAATTAATTTGCTAGAATTACTAATACTCTTTACTACTAGCATGCGTAACTTGAATAATCTGTTTCTTATCTCGAAGTGCTAAGGTGGGGGGGATATCACGTATTTAATTACGACTATTCGTTATCAACGGTGAGGTTTTTATCGTCATATTTGTAGTTTTAGTGTTAGTGTAAAGGCTGGTCACATTACGTGCCGTGTATATTCAATACATCTGCGTGTTTACTATGGTGTAAGCCTCGTACCTACATCATGCTAACGTCAGCTGTGATGTGGTGAAATATTTACGTTCACGTAACGTGATTTTATCTCGCAATGGGCATTCCTAAAGAGCACGTGTTTCATTGCAAGCTGGGACAGAATACTCTATATTGCTTGTTCGGTAATTCCATCTTTCCAGCGCATTGTGTCTGGCAAAAGCTTAGGATACTGATAGAAGATTCAGATCAAAACTGTAAGTTCTCAGTCACTTGTAAAATCTAAAAAATCAGAGCAGTATTATGCCTAACGTTATCATTGTCATAAGGATAAATCGTTCCCAGCTTATAGCTTCAATTCTTCATAATCATGAGTAACCTGCATATTATGAGAGTTTCGATATTGAGAATTTAATAATTTGAGTGGAATGATTTTTTGGGCGGGTCAAAATGAAAGCTGCAATTGGCGTCTGTTAGCGAGCAACTGTCAAGTATAAAGAAAACATTTAAGGGGAATTTTCAAACAACTGCCACTGAATTTTATTTTTCCGGCTGGGTGTTTATTTTATATTGTGGTATATCAATATTTTCTCAACTCGAATGTTTACTGTCTATCTTTATTTCATTTTATTAATATCTTGGGGCGCTTCTCGCCATGGGTCGAAAATCTTGGAAGCAGGACGCATCCAAAGTCGCTGTGCAGCGCTCAGCGATAGGACCCTGATTCTCTATCTCTCTATGACAAAGATGAAAGCAATCAGGCTTATATCTTCTCTATCTCTCTTAAATGGTCAGTACGCGTCTAGCGCATCGGAAAAAAAAAACTGAACTACCAAACTGGTTCGCTAGCGCGAAAGTTGCGAACACCTTAACGGACTAAAAGATCCGGCACTCCCGATTCCAACGATCACCGCTTCTTCTGTTATCGGAAACCAAACTTCACTTACACCGATGCATTAATCGCATCGGGAGTGATTATATGAATAAATTCAATAAATTAATCGAATTAATATATTCGATAAAGCCCGCGTTGCGCATTTTGATCATCACCGAAAGATAGCACTTTCGTTAACGATTGCTGTTCCACTTTTTGCGCAGTTTCTCGTTTTCTTGTTAATCGTTTATCGTTCAGTGCGAGAATCAATTACCATCTCTGCCTGCCGTCCATGCTGCGCTGCATGCAGCGAATGACTCGTTCGACGCTCCCTTCCCGTGGCTTCTCTGCCCCGTCCGTGCGTTTCGACTCATCAACCGGTGCGGTTTACTCTCTCTATCTCCGCACACTGCGTGCCTCCGCTTGACGCGATTACATAAATTAAACCTAGAGCACTCGGGAGAGCACAGACCTGCTGCCCAAGGCCAGCTAGAATTCTGTCAGCTTGCTGAGAAACATTGTGTAATATAATTAAAATAATTAATTGGATCCGCCGACACGACCCAAAAGTAATCAAATTCTAAGTTATCCCGATTTCTGACATCCTAGAAAATTTTATTAATTTACATATGTCTGGATCCGCGATCACACCAAATGCTATTAATTGCTAGTTACCCCATTTCTGACCTATCCTGAAAAATACTTATTAATTAATTAGATGCCCGATCACCAGCAAAATCTCCATTCAATTCTAAGTTAGCCCATTTCTGACCGATATCCTGAAAACTTTATGACAATCCGCTCCATAAACTGGTTTTCAGTTAGCTGCTACACAAACAAACCAATACAACCCACAAACCAACAAACACACCGGCGTAAACCAACCCCTTGGCGGAGTAATAAATTCGTTAAACGAATGTATTCCAGTAATACCGCGTGCGTTTCCTCGATCGTGCGTTTCGATCGTCACACCCGCGTCTCTCTTTCTCTGCGGCAGGTGATCAGAAAAAGATAACACTGATGGAGATTGTGAAGAAGCTGATGCGTTCACATGGATCCGCGCGGGAGGGCACGCGCCTTTACCGAGGACAGCTGCTTCTCCTAAGATCATCGAGATCTGCCGCAGAACAAAACTACCAAGTAAACATTCACCAACTTCGAGTGCGTAAGTACTAAGTAACATAAAGCTAGCTCCGCCTGAGCGGAGTCCGGAGAGTGATCATCGCGCGATCGCAGGTTTTGACCGTCTTTTTGTTATTACAGTCCGACCTCGCCTTAACTCGTCATCAACTTATTCGCTAGAATGACCTAATTCGATACAAAAGAGGCATTGACCCAATATTTGCTCTTCTTTTGATCTCCCCTGGTTAATTTCCGTCTGTATAATTTGTATTCTGTAATTCGTAATTCGCTACAAATATTCTCTGGTCCAATAACAATATTCAATTCAAAATGACTCGGTAATGCGTAGCGGGATGTTTCGTTTATGCAAGGAACATTATTAGTCTATCAGAATACAGTGTATTTATTGAAACACTCTGCCACTCGCGTTCAACAATTAAATCTATTACACCATGGTACAGACAGGTAAAACAGCAGATGAGCTGCACGCAGAGCTCTCGTAAGACTTTTATTGCCTAAATCGTCTGTTTTAGTACAGAATTATCTATCTATTTCGTGGGTTTCTCACGATTAATATAGGAATTCGTTGGAAAATCACGAATTAAGTATAACTTCAATTGATTCTGTAATTTGTACGAAAAATGCCGTCGGATCCCGAATCTTGATACGAATTTAACGCGACGTTGAACTGTTATTATCATCGAACGTTTATCATAAGTAAACCGCCGCCAGCCTCAGCCGCCACCGTCGACACTCGCCCCGCACAATCAGTGACGCAACAGCTTCACGCGGTTGGTTGGTGTGTTTAATGGCGTCGCACCTCACAGGTACCATGAGCAATATCCCGTGCCTTGCGCCTGCAGCGCACATGTGCACACTTGACGCGATGACATTGAACGGCGTGGACAATTTGTAACGAACATTGGCGAGTGTGACACTGAACGGGGATCCGAGACCCCCACACACTTGAGTACAACTGATGATGACATTGAACTGGCGTGATCAATTTGACGAACACTTTGCCGGGTACATGGAACGGGTTGCACCGATTGTTGCCACACAGGTACGTGAGCATCCTGGTGGAGCTGACGCGGCTGGAGGGCACGCAGCCACACGAAGAGCTCGTTGCCGGACAGATGGCTGGACGTTGCCATCCGCGTGCAGGCCATACGACACTTCGCCGTCTCCCAGATGGTTAGTACGGCTGTCGCGCCAGTAGAGAAGCCGCCAGCACAGGCGCCGCCACCCTCTTCGCCGAGGACGGCAGTAATTCTAACGTGCTTGGCTTGCGGAAAGCCAGCACTCAGATGTAATAGTCCAGGCTAGACCATAATTTTGCAGCATCCCTGCAGACTAATTTCCATGCGGGGACACAGCAGCATGACACAGAGCAACCATTTTTACCTCGCCAAGGAGGTAATTAATCGCGTCTCGTGCGTGTGTTCATGTTGTGTCGTGTGTGTGGTGTAGCCACTATGTCTCGCGCGATCTCGCCTATAGGCGTCGAGTCAGCAGCAGCTCGCCTTAGGGCGTCCAGGCAGCAGCAGCCAGAGCAAGCCAGCTGTTATACAAACAGCTGTGTTACCTGGCTGGCGGAGTATGCCACTCTCCGTGGAGTGCCTCTGTCTAGTTCTCTATGCGTTGCAGTTTCGTTTGCAGACGTGTGTTGACTGTGTGTTTTTTGCTCAGCGAGTGTTTTTTCTGTGTGCTTGCAGGCGATTCTGCTGGAGAACGCTCACGTGTTGGTCGGCAACTCCCGTCGCAACAGCATATGCGAAGTCCTGTACGCCGCTGCCTGGATCTGTGGGGAGTTCTCCGAGTACGTACATGCACCTCCTGCAAACTCTAGCGCGTTGTGATGGAACCCCGCCGCAGTTGTGGTCCGGCGTGTTGGGATGTATTCAGCATCTAGTGTAGTAAAATCGCCACTGTTATTTTTGCGAAGGTGGCAAACGCCAGCGGTAGCTCTGTCTAGCGTGTTAAGATAGGCCACATGGCAGTTGTGGTCCACCGCGGTGTAAGTATCACACCGGTGTGGGAACGTAGTGCTACCGGGTTCAATGGTTAATATGACCGCTATTATTGACCGTTATTAACGAGCATTGTTACTGCACGACTGCCTGTCGTTAAACGTCGTTTAATTACCATCATTAATGACCATCAATAACGAGCGCCCTTCGACGACCATCGTTAATGAACATCGTTAATTACCATCATTAATGATCATTCTTCGACGACCATCGTTAACGAACATTGTTAATTACCATCATTAATGACCGTTCTTCGACGACCATCGTTAAATTGACTACGTCGTGAATTTTCTGTGGTGTATATTTGTAAAAACGTTTGTTGCAATGGTTTTTACATGAAAAGTAAGTACTAACGGCACTAAATGTATCCTCAAATTCTTACCTGATAAGATTGTTTTTCAACTAGTTAAAAATCCAAAAAATCTGGGCGATTCGGTATATTTATAGTTCAACATGAATTGCTTGCTATGGACTATGTATGACTATGAGTCACAAGTGTAATCTCTTTAACGGCTCCCCGGTCTCTCTCCCGCGCATATACGCATGCAGGCACCTACCCTCGGAACATGCTACGGCACATGCTGCGGCCGAAGGTGACCATCGTTAACGACCATCGTTAACGACCATCGTTAGCGACCATCATTAACGACTCCCCGTCTCTCTCTCCCGCGCACGCAGGCACCTGCTCGACCCTCAGAACACGCTGCGGCACATGCTGCGGCCGAAGGTGACCATCGTTAACGACCATCGTTAACGAACATCGTTAGCAACCATAATTAACGACTCCCCGTCTCTCTCCCGCGCACGCAGGCACCTGCTCGGCCCTCAGAACACGCTGCGGCACATGCTGCGGCCGAAGGTGACCATCGTTAACGACCATCGTTAACGAGCATCGTTAACGACCATCGTTAACGACTCCCCGTCTCTCTCTCTCTCCCAGGCACCTGCTCGACCCTCAGAACACGCTGCGGCACATGCTGCGGCCGAAAGTGACCAACCTGCCCGGCCACATCCAGGCGGTGTACGTGCAGAACATCCTGAAGCTGTACGCGAGCATCCTCGTGAAGGCCGAGGTCGAGGGCGAGCGGCGCCTCGTCGCCGACATCACCGACATGCTCGTCGACAAGCTCCCCGTCTTCGCTCAGAGTTCTAACCTCGAGGTGCAGGAGCGGGTGAGTGTGCGCGCGGCGGCGGCGGCGGTGAAGGTGGCGCCCCCTGCGGGCT